GAAGGAACAGGATATTTCTAGAAAACGTGGCGTGACACTAGTCACGTGACCTCGCTGACGCAACAATATCAATAAACGAAGAATTTTATGGTCCAAAATTACCTTTCCTATTTTAAAATTTAATAATTAAGTAATAAAGAAAATGCAACCATGTAGTTTTCAACATCTTGTAGTCTAACTCAAACAGTTTTTATTGACATGTCAGTAGACTTCTACGTGTGCACCATTAGGGGCTCTCAGCACGTCTAACCGATATTTGATTTCAGTCTACAACATGCTGCAACATGTCCACAGTTACAGTGGCGATGGCGTCCATTATCTTGGTCATTAGCGATACACGATATCCTTAACATACCCCCATACTACTTTCCTGTGCTGGCGTCTGTTATTACTCTTCACCACAGTCACTGACTTGTCTTTGCAAGCCAAACGACGCATTGAGCTTTTACTTGCACAGTTGCCATTTTACGGGGTAAACTATTCACTGGAGTGAATAAAAACCTCAAAAACATAACAATAAAACTGTTTGACTTGGGCTAAAAGATGTTGAAAACTGTATGGTTGTATTTCCTTAGATATTTAATTATTAAATTTTAATAGATAATTTTGGGCCACCTTGTAGCACATGAACAGCTTTCGCAAGTACTAGCTTCAAAATTTAGTTCTAGGCAGAATGAGTATATTAAATATTTCCTCATTTCAGTATTCACCCATAGATGGCGAGAAGTGATACGTGACCTGCATGTACACCGGAACCGGATCGACTTAAATAGTGAAAGGAACGAGTTCACCTCAAATGTGAAAGCAACATGATGGGACTATTAACTCTATTAAGCCGTTTCCTGATGGCAACTCTGGTGGCTCAAGTAAGTAATGAACTTAAGCATTTCAAACACTTATGTGTAGAAATATTTGAATGTTTAAAGAATGCCAAATAAACAGATTACACTGCATGTTGCTTCGAATTTGCAAAATTACACCTGTGTCGTCTAGTATCAAGATTACACCTGTGTCGTCTAGTATCAAAATTACACCTGTGTCGTCTAGTATTATTTTAAGGTTTGTAATTACAATGGTCGAAAAATTACCCTCAGAAACTAACCTGTACTCGATTGGCGTTAACTCGAAAGAAGAATTAATAAGTAAACGATGGACTGACAGGTCTGAAGCTGAAATCAAAACACTTTGTACTTCAAGACCTTGGTACTTTAGTGTTAGATTAAAGATACGCTTTGCTTAATTGCCAATGTCTTTAATAATTGTCTTTTTAACCCATATTTTTATTTATTTATTTATAATGACAGTTCTTTTAATAATTATTGTAGCTGTTAGTAGTTTTCTGATACTTATGGTTTCAATAGCATTGTTGTAACGGTTTCTTTTGTTAGGTAGGCTATTCTAGATTTAGTGTAAAATAATGTGAAGGACAATTTGCTTAATGATAATCAAGGTGTTTTATTTCTTCGACTATAAGTTTTACAACGTGCAAGTTCCGCGTAACTGACAATAGACCTAATCTCACAAATAACGCTTAATAGTTACTTGCTAAATACCTATCATATCTACCCGACCCCGAACATGTTCGCCCTTTTAGCCGTGTATACGTAATAATATGCAGTGAAACCCGCTATTCGTATGTAAAGAGTAACCCAAGAAATGCTGTTGGTGTTGTCGGCCGGTTGCCTTCTTGCGGTTGGCAGTTTGAAATTACGGACGGCGGTAGATAGCCTTAGAAGCTTTGTCACAAAGAAAAAAAAAAGAAAACACAATTCTCGCATATTTATTCCTTCGTTAAAAACACAATCTGAAAATTTACTGAACTGACTGGCTTTAGTCCTCAATTAATAGTCTAATCTAGTCTCGCTTAACATGCGTTTTATATCTTTCAAATTATTTCTTAAACTTTCAAGACTTGTTAGAAACTCCCTCAAAAACAATACAAACATTAAAATTAAAAACAACAAAACAAACATAGCCAACAAGAGTATAATATCACAATCATCTAAAAATATAATTTGGCTTTTTAAATATTTCATGAAGCATATATTTCTTAATCTTGTGTCTTGTTTGTCCCGCGGTGGCTCAGCGGTAAGTCTGAGGACTTGTAACGCTAAAAATAGGGTTTCGACACACGCCGAAGGCAGTGCAAAGATAGTTCTTTGTGCTTCACAAAAAAAAACAGACAAAATGGTCTCTTTTTGATACAGTAATATGTAAATTTGATATTAATTTGTCATCTACCTCGATCCAGCGCCGTAGATTATATAAAACCCTAATATTAAGTTGTAGAAATTAGAGATCATGAAGCAGACAACTAGTACTAGTAGTTTTGTGACCTGATTTAAACAACACTTTAATATTGAAATTAGTTTGAAAAATGTGATTAAGTTATATTAAAAATTGAATTAATCAATGCTTTAGTCAGTTGTATATGTATACAATTATTGGACATTTTTCATTTTAAACGTTTCAAAAGTACTTGAAAGCCTGTGTTAATTTCACCAAACAGATCTTAACTATGTCTGAGAAAGAAAACAAAACTTTGTGAAAGCATTATTTCCGTATTGCACCTAACAGTAAAACGGCCTTAAAAGTACAGAAGTACACACTATAATATTTTTGTAATACTGTACATCTACAGTTTTATCTTAATATGTAGGGGGGGGGGGTAGGATAATGAAGTCTAAGATTAATTGTTCATAAATTCTAACCAGTACGTCGGTTACCGCATCGTTTCAAAGTAAATAAACTTACTCAACTTGCATGCGAATGAAAACAAGTTTTCCTCACGATCGGCTTACAATAACGAGGTTGCACCAATTTGTTCATGTACAAGTATTGTTGGTTTATAATAGTAGAGGTGTGGTATAATATATTCCGTGCATCTGGACATGTTCTGACCTGATCCACAAGTTTTGAATCTACTTGTTTCAAGTTCTAGTCACGTACTCCCATTCATGTCATATTTTCCTGTAAAAGGCTTATGACACGTGATTTCTTCTAATTTATTATTTTTTTTTTCTGATACATACTTTATTTTTTAAAATATTACTACGTTACTCTCTTGTAAGCTTCATTAGATTTCTTTTGAGAATGTGTTTGTAGGAAAGTCGTTCTTTTACACGAACGACCGTACAATAATAATAATAATAATAATAACTATATACATAGTGCAGGACCGTACTCAGAGTGTTTGAAAGGGGGAGTTCTAATTTGAGATCAAAAGTAAACGTATGTTATGCGAAGCACAATCAGCATACCAGTGCTACAGGGGTCTGGGAGCATTGGTAAATTTGTAAAAAAAAATAGGTGTTGTGAAATTAATCTGGAAGCAATTTTGCATGAAATTTAGCTTTAAAAATTGTATGGCTGTTCACATAAAATCCAAAAACATTCAATGAAAAGTCAACAAATCATCATTCATTTGTAACACTGCATGGGGGAACTAGACTTAAATTAGCATAAATATGTAGGTATTATTGTAGTAAAGTACTGTACTATCTTTATTTAGATCAGTTAATAATTGTTAAATTATATTACTAATTTAAGCAACTCTGTATAACAATAGTATATTAGGTACTAGCTAGAGTACCCGTCTCCTGGACGGAAGTTATGTAAATTCATGATTAATGGAAGCTTATCATAGGATATGAAACGTAGCTTCCGTTTTATGTAATTGTAAAAAACGCCCATAAAAACTGCACAAACAAAATGTGAAACTGCAAATTTGCATGTATCTCCACATGGACCCAACAAACCTTCATGCCAAATTTGGTCCATCAACAGAGGGCGAAGTAGTGGTAAAACTTGCAACCCATAAAAAGCGCAAAATTGAAACTTTGTATGTATCTTCCCATAGACCCAATGAACCTCCATACCAAATTTGGTGAAGATCCATTCACAGTAGTTGATGTAGTGGTAAAAAAAACGCCCATAAAAACAGCAAAATGTAAAACTTGTATGTACCTCTGCATGGGACTTAATGAATCTCCATACCAGTTTTGATGAAGGTCCATCCACACCCTGCGAAGTAGTTGCATGAACATACAACAGACAGTACTATTATATTATATAGGTTTTAATCATTGGCTCTCATATACGTACATATATGCACTATTAAAATAACATCTTAGCATGCTCCATTCTTCTGGGGAGCTTTTCCGTGAATAATTTTACATACAGTTTCAATGTTGATAGCAGTGAGATAATGATTATTTATTAAAGTTAGAGCACTCGGTCTTTATTCGGTTTGTGTACACCTCGGGTAATTATTGATTCGAGGGAGAGCAGATGCCGAACGTTCACAGGAACATGAACTTAGTGGCAGTGTGGCAAAAAGTTTCAGTAACATAGAGATATTTGGTACACTGAAACACGCTTTTGAACAGTCAGTCAGTATCTGGGGTCTGTCTTGGAGAGAGGTATAGAAAGCCATTTTGTTTTCCATCTATGAAGTTCTTCATCAAAAATGTCAGGATTTGGCAAATCTTCCCTGTAAAATATATATATATATATATATAGCATGTCTGATATCAGAGTTAGAAAATTCTTGTATGAGTTTTGATGCCATAAGTTTCTGAATTGATGCTGCTTGCTTTACATGCGCATCAAATCTGGAAGAAAAATTACTGATAATGTGGTCATGAAAAGGAATGGTTACCGTTTTCTTAAGGTAATCCTCCAAGGAACTATATTTTGCATTTGCACGTTTGGCTTGTTGTTGACTAACTCGTGCCATGCTAATATTAATATTAGATTTATTTGCAATATTACTGCCGTGTTTGAAATAGGACGTGAATAATCATCTACGTTCACTCTAAGTGAAGTCAGTTCTTTACATCATTGTTATATTAGGGAAACACCAGAAACAATGTCTTGGCTTCTTTCAAATAGTAAAAGGGACGTTGTAAAGATGTTAAACAAAAAAAAATTAATTCAAAGGATTCCAGTATTTTTAGACAAGCCCTAACAATTTTATCTTCAGCAGCCCAAATGTTATTAAACATTTCAGAATCATCATCTCCATACACAATAACCTCACATACGTAAAGTAAGAATGGATCACATAAACAGAACCTTTCCCAACCTTCAATATTCTCAACCCAGCGTGTAATGTACACATTGAATAGTGGAAGACGTGATGAAGCTGCTCCATGCTGGATGCCCTTTTGGTAGATTGCCTTTAATAGTTCCCTACGTTTAGGCGAGGATTTAATCCAAATAATTATTCCATTAATTTGTTTCATATAATTTCGTATTGGTGGAACTGAACATGAATTTATAATAGCAAGATTAAGTAAGTGACTCGCGCAATTAGTGTACAAGGCCTTGCTTTCCTGTTTTTGGACACCAGATGGTGGACCCTCCATCATATCCTTGACCACGCAATTCATTTAGAGATAATCAAACATCGGTCAATATATTTGTAATTGCACATACAATATCTGTTGCTCTGACCCTCTGTAGCATAACAAACCCAATAAATTATTCCCTAATTTCACGGTTGTCATCTACAAAACGGAGACATATTGTATTGGTAAATGTGTGCGCATTGTGGTAAGACACTTCATCAGCAACAACAGAGTAGAATTCAGTATTTTTATTTCATCAATAATTTTTACTCTAATTACATCATATCTTATGGCATTGATGCCATTTTTACCAATAATTATTCTATGAATACGCCACGAATCCATTTAATATATGATCTTAATTTTGATTGGCTCACAAAGGAATTTACCGAGGTTTGACTACCTCGACTGCACTTTTCTGCCTCTTTGTTGGTCAAGCTTGATTTCGCAAAACTTAATTATTTCAGTTGGCTATGAAATGTGAGTTTAGAGTATACTATGGGGTGAGGGTGGTA